GGCTATACTAAAATTTTCAACCTTACAAATCACAAATCACCCTCCTGAACATGAGAGCTTATATCCTGTGAAATAAGCACATGATGTTTAAACTCTTCATCCATCTTTTCACATAAATTCTCAGTAATGCTTCTGTCCTTACCATTACCAAGACAGGAATCAGAAAACAAATGTGACAAAATTAATGAAACTTGCTTTTGAAAATAAATCTGCACACCACCACCTCCCCCTCCCCCCCCCCCCCCCCCCCCAACAACACCCCACACACCATTCAGGATAACAGAATAGTTTTTCCTTTTTTTACCAGCATATTAATATTTTATAATTAATTTAAATATGATTGTCTAATCTCAAAAACAAAATTAAGACTTCTTGAAATGCAGGAAAAGAAATAAGGTCCAATTGGGCCTTTCAAGATGCTAACATGCTTCACGACATGCCTACAATATAAATGCAAGTAGAAAAGGAGGAATAGGAAGAGAGACCAAGAGAAAGATACAGAATGATCAAAAGCACAAGATGTTATTTCTTAAAACAAACAATTAGAGAAGATGAAAAAGTATTGATATCACAAGCTAGATGACTAAAATGCCAAGCAAAGATCAACAGATATCCTAAGGAACAATGTCCCTTAAAAATCAAATAATGATTTTCTTAAGAGCAGTTTCCCAACCTTGCTAGAAGCTACTTTCTTTTTTTTTGCACATATACATAGATGTATATAAGTCATCAGGTAAAAGCTTATATTACATAGAGACTAGCATGAAATTTGAACGGAATAAATCTTGAACAAAAGAACTATAAAACTCTGATAAAATTTGCATACCAAAAGAGACAGTGATACATTGACAGGCTCTAATATATGTTCAGACTTATCACCAACAAAGTGTGAATTGCACCAGGATTTGGAATCCTCAACTTGGTTCAGGCTCAAAACATTGGCAGCTTCCTTGGAGATGCTACAATAAATTTCTAAACCTTCAATCTCCACAATTTTGCTCACCTGACCCATTCTCAGTCTGATACGTTCAGGTAAGAAAGTCAAAATGCATTTGTAAGTAAAGCTAAGTACATATCAGAAATATAAAAAGGACCTCTATTTGGACTTATTTGTCACAAAAGTGAAAAAAAAATAAAAGAAAAAAACAACATGCAAGTTTAATCTGCCATTGGTTACTCGTGCTTCACAAATTAATACAGAATAATTAAGAAAGTGCCTTTCATACATATGCCACAACAATCATTGCCAATTAAGTTGAGGAAGTTCAAATAACTGACTTCTGGAAGTCACTAAGACAGCCAAAGTGGAAGAGATAGAGTGTATAAATTAAAATGAACGTCAAGAATATTACAGTAGACTGAGGAAATTACCCAATCGGATTTTGCTTTAACATTGTCAAGCTAGAAAATCTTAAACCAAACATAAACTGTTCCTGCAAAGACATTTAAGTAAATAAACGATTATAAGCTCAGTTCAGATAAGTTGCATAAAATAATATGCAAAGAGAAACGTTAAAAAACAAAATCTAAAACAATTTAATGCCAAATCTTAAAGAAATTCCATATAATTCTAAGATTCAAAAAGGGGGCTCGTCAAAGCATCCAAACGTCATTAAGTCTATACTAATGCATATACACATAAAATCCCATGCTTAATTTTTTGAAGATTTATACCTCCATAGCTTCACCTCTAATTACGATTATTGCAGTCAGATGCAAAATAATGACAATAATTCTTTTTCCATCATTATATAAATGATCAAGTAAGTAGTTCACACAGAAAAACTACAATGATCCCCTAGCTTACTAGGCAAAAGTGAACTTGCTTCTGGGAAAACAGATAATGATTAGAATGGAATTAGACATTCCATCTTCGTGAATTTCTACTTTCTTATAAGAAGTGAAAATCTAGTGTAAGCATCACCAAAAAAAATCTTAAATATTTCTAATTTCAGAATTTGAAAGCAACAAATTGAGCAGACCATAGTAGACAGGACAATAAAGCATAAAAATTTTTTTAAAAAAAGGGATAAAAAAATTTAAAAGATGTAAAGTAATTTTAGATAGTATATGCATTCAAAACACATGCAAACCATGCAAACAAATGTAAGCAACATAAACAGAAGCAGTTGAGGAAAGCAGTAGACTAGTTATAATAAATGAAAATATAAAACATAACAAGGTTAAGTAAGGAGAAGAAGCAAATGGTAGGAGAAGGAGGGAACTTACTGAATCGGATTGCATATCACTATATAAGACATGGAAATTTCTAATGGACACTTGGATATTTTCAAGAACCTAGAAGGAAACAAAATTGTCAAGGGTGTAGATTTCATCAAAAGTCAGAGAAGTGCATTTGCAGCATGACAGAGACAAAATCAGGGAGAAGAAAGGGAGCAATTACCACCAATAACCATCCAAGGAAGTCCAGCATTAAACCTATAACCACAAATATCGAATAAAAAGGGAAGACAAAGGGGGTTTAAATAAGTGGATTACCTTTGCAGTAACGAAAGGAATGAATGACCACCCTCCTTTATTATCTGCATAAATTCATAAAAACAGATTTATTAATTTATAACCATTAAAACTTAAAACATCACCATATATTTGCCCCAGTGGAAATTCACAAATATATAGCGATAAATAACTGACTGACCGCAAACACGTCTTGAGAGTTTAGCAAGCTCGGCGGCAGCAAGCTTAGCCTTCTTGCCGGCAAGTTCTCTTGTTTCAACGGCATCCATTCTCCACTGCCTCAACGTTCATGAATTCATTAAATTCAGGAAAAAAAAAGGACAGAGAGAGAGAGTTTTCTTCTTTTTCTAAATTCAAAGAGCAGGAAGATGAATAATAAAATACCTCATGGTCATCCCTCTGGGATACAGAAAAGAAAACATTCTCCAAAGCAATAAGAATGGGTTCACCCCCAATCAAATTCCAAGGAACCTTAATGCTTAGTCTCCCAACTCGACCTTTCTTAAGAGCAAAAGGCAACTGCAGGTAGTCGAAGGCTTCGAGAATAAGGTCTATGTCCTTCAATTCAACCTCGATGTTCCAGAGAGTGACCTTCACTTGGTCCTTTGAGAAATCCTTCACGTATCGCCCAAGATATCCCAGTAACACCTGATGAACCACTCTTTCCAGCATTTTCTTTGCCTTTGCTTTATATTTGTAAATTTTTTATCATTCCTCGAGATTCAAAACCATTCACAAACCAGCGTTGTCAATGCACAATTATATGCCGTTCGCAAGAAAAATACTACGACAGTTGGAAATTTCATTTCGGTTTCGCTTTACCTACAACTACGAGACCCGACACCAAAACCCACAAACCAAGAATTTCGGAGACGGGAAATAGTGAAAATTCGTCCCGTCTGATGCCTGTAATACGATGGGGCAACGCGAAGAAGAATTTTTCTTTTTCTTTATTTTTTCCTTTCGTACTAGTTCTAGTAACTTCTTTCTTTCTCAGTATTAAACCCCAACCCCGAGCATCGTGGCAATCAGTGGAGTGGGCGTCCAGTCTCCTTGGGTTCGGGTCATTGGTTGGGTTCGGGTCATTCTAACTTCCAATATTTTCCGTCGGGTTTCATTCGGATCTAAACATCAATTATTTAAAAAATATATCAATTATTCAAGGACTACTTTTTATTTTTAAAATTATTTAACTCTAATCAAATTTTTTATTCTATTATTTGGAAAGAATTAAATGCCTCATGCATGTTGCATAATTGTAAAATTTGTAGATTAATTATAATAAATAAAAAGAATTTAATTTTTATTTTTTAATAACAAAAAGGATCTTATAATGAACTAATGTTATATAGAAATTAAACATACAAGTGTAAAGAAAAAGAAATTTCATATTTTTATTATCTTTTAATGTTGCCAATAGATTAACAATTTGTGTTGTGTTTATTTTTAAAATAGTAATAATTGTATTCAATTTACCTTCCAAATTTTATGTCGTTTCAAAGTAATTTTTTCAAATCATTTTAGATTCAAATAAATTTCAGATTTGAATAGCTTTAAATTCGCATTATTTAATATTTGAATCATGTTGAGTTTAGGTAACAAAAAATTTGAGTTGATACATTTTAAGTCTAAAATTAAGTTGATTAAGGTTGTTTGCTATTTGTAGTTAAATCATGATGGGTGAAGTCTTTTAGGTTCAAGGCAGCTTTGGCACTCTTACCTCTTTCTCACATTTTATTACCGACTTTATTAAGCAATTAATGATTTAAGTTAATTCCTTTCTATTTCATTTGATTAAACCTTTTATGTTCTTACAATCAAATCTTCTAAGAGATATAAAATTAATTTTTCTAACTTTAGTAGCTTCCTTAATCCTAATATTCATTTTTTTTGTAATTTTTTAATTGCCACGTTTTATTTTATCTTATTAATACCTCCATATAAAATTTTTAGCCAATCACTTAACAAAATAATAATAATAATATTGTCCCAAAGAGTTTACTTCACAGGATGCAAGTATAGAAAGAGAAAATTTTCGACTACTTAAAAACATACCATATGAAATTTAAGATTAAAACATTTGATTTGACCAAACAAATTTAAAAAATTTATGGATCATCTAATCAGATTTCATCGATGAATCATCATAATTATTTTTTATTAAATTAAAATATTTTAAAAAATCAAATCAAATTTTCACTAATCAAGTATCAAAAACTCATCAATCATTTAATTAAAATTCATATATGGATCATTGCATTTATTACTATTAAATTAAAATAATTTATAGATAAAATCAAATAAATTAAGTTCTTATTAAATTTTCTTAATTAATGTTATAATTACAATACTTCTCCTAGCCATTCTCTCTAAGATTGAAGAGATAATTTGTGTTTTCAATTAATAAATTCGCTTATGAGCATTGTATTTCTATTCATAGAGCTTAACTCGAAATTTTTTTTTTTCATATTAAAAAAAGGTTCTGCTTCCTGACTAAGATATTCCATAATCTTTAGAGTAAGTAGTTATAACGTCAGCTAATCTAATATTTGATGGAAAATCAGCAATTACAAACACAAACAAAGAACATTTGGCTAATTACATTTTCACAAAGTTAAAAGACGCAAAGGCCCTTACTCCACTTGTGCAAATCCAAATATAGCCCTTCTCTCGCCTCTCTGTACACCTATAACTGGTTCAGTTGAAAAGGCCAAAAACGCCCTTCCAAATTATAGAGAATCACAGGTCTACCATTGCGTTCAACTACTTAACCCCCCAAAAACAGGTTAATCAATCGTTACAAATCTGTTGAACAGAAAGGCTTGAAACTTGAAAGCTGAAATTAAGTTCGAATGCATTTACCAATTCAAGTCTCAAGATGATTGAAAGGAAACTACAGCGGAGGAGAAGGAATCAGCGCCTTCGGCAACAGCAACACTCGCGCTTCTCTTCCTTTTGGCTTTGGCTTTGGCTTTGGGAATGGATTGTTGTTCGGGAGATGAGTTTAGGGTTTGGATGGAGGTAACGCAGCACTCTTGCCACTCCAGACGGTTGAGGTCCCCGATTATCTCCTCCTCTGTTAGCCAGGCGCTCGATGATATGCTCGATTTCAGCGTGGAACGTGATGGATCAATCAGATTCAGCTTCTCCACCGCTTCGCTCAACGCTTTCTATTCAATTTTCCGTTTAATTTAACGTCTCTAAACAGCTAAGCAAATCCTAGAGCAAAAAGAAATTCAAAAAAAAAAAACAGACAATCAATTCAAGAGATAGAGTATTTCCGATTACCTTGGGCATGTTTGTCGTTTTCTTGAGACCGTGAATGAAGATAATCTATCGAAAAGAAAACAAACATTACTACGAATCAGATCATCAGCAATTAAGAAAATAAAAAGGTTTTTGATTCGAATTGGGAATTTGAAAATCTAGAGTGGAAAATGAGATGAGAGAGGATCGACGACCTGGTTGAGGGAACTGAGGGTGAGAGGAAGTTGTTTGTGAGAGGAAAGGAAATCGATGTAGTCCTCGAGAGATATCTTCCGCTTCTTTGCTTTCATTCTCCATGAGTTCGCTTTGCTGCTGCTCTCCATTTTTTTTTGTCTTCCCTCTTTCGAAATCAAACGGATTTTCGCGTCAACGGTTTTCTTTCTAGCTATTTATACTCATAGGGATATGACAGTCACGTGCTGATCACATCACATGTGTGTTTGTTGGCTCTCTATATTCATTTAAAAAAATTTTAATGTTATAACTCTCTTCATCGTGTTTTTTTTTTTAATTTATTTTTTTAGAATATCCTAAAATAAAGTTATTATCTTTTCAATTTCGAGTGCCTAAGTAATATTTTTACCTTTTGATATTTCAAAGAGCAATGGAGGGTGGCTTAACATAAATAGAATTTGATGAAATCCTATACAAAAATTGAAGATTCCATAGCCGACTGTACATTGAATATGAGGGTATAACTTCATTTTCAATCTTATGTTGTATATATAGACAGAAGCATATGGACACAAGGGTGAGGAAAAATATGTGAAAAGTATAGAACAAATACCATTGGTATTACCTCTTTTTCTCTGATATGCATACATCGGACGAGTACTTCAATGCAGCTAAACTTGGTTTTCCCCCACTGATATTGTCCCACATTTAGCTCCAAAGCTGTATATATTAAACTCTTATACCCCTACTCTAGCCTATCCATCTTCAAAGCAACATTGAAGTTAAGTAATCAAGTTTTGAGCAAGGAATCTGTTGCTAGCATGGAAGATAATAAGGAAGGAGGGATCGTGAAGAAAGGTCACGATGACGGGGTGGAAATGGCAGTTTCCCTTTTGCGAGAGTTCGAGCTCCCCGAAGGGCTTCTCCCTCTAGCCGACGTGGTTGAAGTGGGGTACGTGAAGGGCACTGGGTACATGTGGATAGTGCAGCAGAAGAAAGTGGAGCATGAGTTCAAGATGATCAGCAAGCTGGTGAGCTATGACACTGAGATCAAAGGCTTCGTCGACAAGAAAAGGATCAAGAAGCTCAAGGGAGTGAAGGCCAAGGAGCTGATGCTGTGGCCTCCCGTGAGTGAGATCACCATTGATGATAAGCAACCAGGGAAGATCCATTTCAAGAGTCTTGCCGGGATCACCAAGACTTTCCCTGTTGAGGCTTTTGCTGCTGGCCAGTGATTGGATCCTATATTGCCAATATATATATTATGCCTTCTTTATATGTAGTGATCACTTTCGTTGCTGGATAAATATATTAACTAAAGGTTGAAAAAGGTTTCTTTACTCTTTCATCAGCGTTGGAACTTGGGTTGAATAGCAATTTTCTTCTTATTAAGAAAAAAATATGTATTTTGAATCTATTTTTGTGTAATACGATTTGGTCATTGGAATGTATTTTCTCCTTCTTGTTTATCGCAAATTTTCCTGGGTGCCTAAAGCCCAAGTCTTGGCAAGCCTTGTGGCCCAAAGAAAGCCTTGGCAGGCCTGTCTGTCCAACATCTTGGGTTGAACATCCTCCCCTTAGTGTACAAAAATTGTGGGAAAACCAATTTAAAAGCACCATGTTTGGGTTAAAAAAAATAAAATTAATTATTTCTTTGTAGAGTAGAAAAGGTAAAGCGAGATGAAGTATTTGAACATCAGTCCTCAAGAAGAAGGACCAAATCTCATATGCTGTGTGACTGTAGACTGTAAATTCGTATAACTACATATATTCAGTTAGTATTATTTTTCCAAAGGTATGAATCCATGCACCAAATATAAAATTGTGATTGGGGTCCATGACCCGAGACTCAATAATGGAATCAGTACCAAATATTAAAAAAGCCACAGACAAAAGGCGGTTAAAGCTCTTTCTCTCTCTCTCTCTCTCTTTTTCCAGTTTTCAAGGAGAATCCAATCAGAAATTATTGTAGTCTACGTAAGAAGAATACAAACACCTCAAGCTATAGATATTATTATATATATATATAGACATATAAAACTATGACCTTGGATTCTCTTATCCTCTCTCTGCTCTGCCATTCCTCTCTTGCAGTGGATGGACAATTGCCCACAACACCAGAACACAGAAATAATGCCCCCACACTCTCCCATGCCAAAGGCCAAAAGCAAAAGCTGAAACCTTGGACCTTAATTCGCATCACACTATCCAAATATGCTATATCAAGGTAGGTGCTTTTTAATTGCCTTCTTTTAAAATTCCTCCTTTTTTGAGGCATGCACATTGACAAAAGCAATATAGCACTAGTAATTAGTTAAAAAAATAAGATAATAAAAAGAAAGCAATTTGGTGTTTGTTAAGTAGCCTGTAAACCAACTAAGCCAACAAAGGATTACTTAAATCAAACCACGATGTGATTCACATGAAGCAAAGCAAAGGAAAGCAAGACTACATCCTTGGGATCAGATAACTAGACATTGGCGCAAAAAAGAAAAGAGAGGTGAGAGTTGAAAAAGAAAGAAGAAATTAAGAAGGGAGGCAACAATTCTTCTTTTAGCAACATTCTATCTCAAATCTGAATCCCAGATTTCAAGTGGTACACTTAGTGTTAATCTCTGCATAAGGATTAATGGGTTTCTTCTAGCTAAGCTAGGCTTTGCCACTTTTTACAAGAGAAACATCCTTGAAGACAAATATGGCAAAAAAAGGCCATTTCATTGCTTTAAAAGGCTAAGTACAGCAACATTTAAAGTCTCAACATTGTACACAATAGATTGACCATTTAACAGAGCAGCAGTACTATTGTGTCTGAGTTTCTAAAAACAACCAGGAACCTGAATGACTTTGCTTATCTGTTCCTGTCCGGGTTCCAGTTTGCTAGAAGGTGAATGTATGCAGAATTTGAAAATTTTATTTTACGAATCCAGAAACTGTTTTAATTCTGCATCTGCAGGGTTATTACTTGTTACGTCGAAGGAAAGAGTTGGATTCTGGTTAGCCTGAAGTAGTGCGTCGAGTTACATAAACAAAAAGGAGAAATGTATAGCCAAAAAGTTAAAAGTTCAGCTAAATCAGCAGAGATGAAAACAGTAAAAGGTTAATGTAAAGATTTAAGAATGAAACATTAATAATTCACCCCTCTTTCCACCCCCATTGTCCAGCAGAGATCCAGTCTCTGAACACTATGTCACCTACCAGCCAACCCCCCACCTCCCTTCTCTCTCTTTCTCATCAATAGTCCCAACTGAAGAGACAAAATAATTAAATTCCACACTTTATCCCACTTTTTCTTGTCATAGGAAACATGGGACATCAGAATGAGACTTGACTTATTCAACTGATTCTTTCTCTTCCTCTCCCTTTTTTCCCTTCCTTTACTTTTTCCTAGATGTAGAGGGAAAACCAAAAAGGATTACTGTTAGTCTTAGTGGTAGTGCAATTCAAAGGGTTGAGAGGTAAACCAGAGATACACATAAAGAAAAGAATAAGTAATTCCACAAATGTAAACTAAGAAGCTACTTTCTCTCTGAGCCTGATGACGTTTTCTTGCCTTCAGAGCTCTATGAAACAATTATGTAAATGATTATATCACAAGTAAAACTGGTGATACTAGTATGAATCAAGAACGGACAATGAATTCTTTGGACTATTACCATCAAATGCTGTGGGGGGCTTGAGCCACAAGAAAGAGTAAGGATTTTTTCTTTTTATAGTATATAGTTCCTCACTGAGTCCTCCAAGGACTGATGGCTCGGGCAGATCATCTCCTTCACTTTGTCTCCATTCTTATAAATCTTAAACGTTGGGACCATTCTTATACTCTCAGCTTTTGCCACTGCTAAGCTTTCCTCCACATCCACCTTCAGGCAAAAAACCAATAAGACATATGTTAACACTGATCCTTTTATCAATCAATTCATGATTATTAGAATGAGTATGGTACAACTTCAGTTTGCTTTTGATTTTCCAGGCATCACAAGCAAGAATCAAACTGAAGCATCATTGAAAGAAAATTAAGAGAATAACAATCATGAACACTCAATTGCCAACCTTAAAAAAATGAACAGATGGATACCGAACACAAAGCAAATTTATGAATGGGGATATTTCTTTACATTGTTCATTCGCTGCCACTTTAAAATGGACCACTGATATGCCTGAAATTCCAATTTGTAAATCAGATAGGAAAATCAAGACATAAATTGAGGACAAGAGATCCGGAAGAAGGCATCAATCTCACCTGGTGATGATATTGCTGTTTTAAATGTATCTAGGCTAGAAACTTCTTCTACTTCACCACTGATTTTCATACTATGAACATCTACTCCACGAGATTTCTTCAGCGCAATTTGTGCATTGTGTAGAGACTCAGCAACTTCATTGTCTTCAGGAAGTTCCTTCCTCAACAGCTCATAATCTCTCACAGCATCTGCCCACCGTCCAAGCTGTAACATCCCACAAGAACATTTCCCGATATACGAATTGCTAATCAAAAAACAAGAGACTTGGAAACACATATAGCAAAAAGTAACCATAGAAATGCCAACTCACCTTTCCATTTGAGGCAGCCCTTCGAAGTAAGGCCTTTATGTAATTTGGTTGGATCTTTAGAGCCTGGTTGCAGTCCTCTACAGATTTTTCCCAAAGTCCAAGTTTGGACCAGCAAACTGCTCTATTGCAATAGAGAATAGAGTTAGAACTATCATATCTGAGGCCTTCCCCGTAAGCTGAGCAGGCTTCAGCAAATCTTCCAGCATTGAAGAAGTCATTGCCGCGAGTCCTTGCTCTTGCTACCATTTTCACATTGTTTAATACCATTGCAATCTCTACGTTGTTGTAATCAATACGTCCAGCCTTCTCTGCTGCTGAAACTGCATTCTCAAATCTGCAACAAATCTATAATCCATTCTCACTCAACTCTAATAACAACAGCAAACAGTAATTGTAACTTCATCTTTCAAAGCTCACCTTCCCAATGCCATCTCAACTTGAGCTTGAACAAAGAGGGCATAAGCTTCAGCCACCATACCAAAGAACTTAGTCTGTGAGAAGGGAGTATATTGCTCCAATTTTGGAATGTTTGATAGGCAGGAATCTGCATCCTCAATTTGGTGGAGCTTCAAAAGGGCTTCTGCTTTACAAGCAATGAGCTGTGAATTCATTTCAATAAGCTCAGATATTGTGCAGTTTACTACTATAAACAGCTAGCCAGTGCAAAAACATAATTGAGGCCAGGAGTTGTACCTGGGGAGATGAGTCTGCGCCAACAGCTATTGCTGCATCCGTTTCCCTTAGTGCACTCTTCCAATCACCAATCTTTCGGGCATCTGTGCATCGATTAATATGCTTCTCCAACAACTGCAACTTCTGTAACTCAGCTTGATCTGGATTTTGCCCTGGGAAACATAGGTGGTGCCTGGCATTTTCAGGAAGACCTAACCTGGAGGACAAATTTGAGGATTGTTACTGTTCTGTCCAAAATCCTTTCTTGTCAAACAGCATGGAGACAGACATCTAAAGGTGAAGATAACCGATGCCATTTTGAACTTAAATCTAAAAACCAAAAGGTAATCACAAACTCGAACTTAAATTCGGAAAGGAACGGTTATAACGTTGAGAAATAGAGGCAAGAGAACTCCTTAAGCGTCTAAATCAATAAACAGAACAAGCTAAAGGGTTACATCAATCAGACAACAAAAAAGAACTCGATTATAAACAAAAAATATATATATGAAAGGAGCATTTTGACAACCTCCCAGACAGCTAGGAACAAAGAGATTGAAGCATTCTCAAAGTGTAACCAGTGACATGGAACAATTGAAAATCGCCCATGATCATGGAAAGGAACAAAATGACAATGCAAACATGAACCAATCACTCAAAGAGAGAGAAAGAGAAGAGCCCACCGAAACAGATCCAATCCTCACCAACACCAATGAAAACATAAAGAAAGCACCCACCAATCACATTACTCAAGAAGATGAACAAAAACCAAAAACATTTCCGTCAAAAAACCAAATTAAACATGAGCTAAATCATCAACTAAGACGATTAACTGACTCACCTAAGATAAAGAGAAGACAATCTCTGACGAGCTCTGCCATAAGCATGGTCCAACCTAACAGCCTCCTCACACTCCCTGACAGCCTCTCCCAACCTTCCCACGGCCGTCAACGCCGCTGCCCTGTTACTCCTGAACGCGGCGTTTTCCGGTGAAATGGATATTGCCCTATCGTAAAATGCCAATGCCTCCACAAAATTCCCTCTTTTATACATCTCATTACCAGCTCTCTTCACTTCCTCGGGATCACTAGTGTTCCCCAATTTAGTACCGCCACCACCACCACGCATTATGCTGCCATGTCCATAGTTTCCTTTGCCAGCACCAAGCGTGTCCGTCTTGTTAGAGGTACGAGACGCCATGGTTTTGAGGATTTTGCCAGATGGGCAAATGTTACCACTTGGCAAAACATTTGTCGTGCTTGGATTGGAACAAACTGATGACGATGCAAATGAGGTTGCTCCACTGAAGCTTGAACCAGAGTAGATCAATGGGGGTCCAGCAGACACGGATCTCCTGTGACCCGGCCTAAGAATCCGGTTTGTTGGGGCGGATCCGGGTATAGATGGACTTGTCTCCGACAGCTCCCCTGAATTGTTGGTGTTCAAGCCATTACTTTTAGGCAAATGGGTAGTTGTGCTGTTGTTGTTTTTGCCCGAAACGGAACCAGCTGAAGAGCTTGAACTACTGCTTGACGTTGTAGTGGCGGTTGCATTTCCGTTGCTGTTGATGGAGACACGGGTGGTGAGCAATGGTGAAACCGGTGAACCCAGATCGAGTTCTTTGAAGTCAGGCTTGTTCATTTCTTTTTCATTAATGCCGTGGTCGGCTGCTGTGAAACTCAGTGAGTCACGGTATCGGCTGGTTAGAGAATCAAGGCTTGGCCTTTTGGAATGTGATGACATATTTTGAGTGTTGTTGTTTTCTTCGTGTTTCCTCAGAATTCTAAATCTCAACAACAACAATTGTGGTTCTGCATTCAATCATATGCTATCTTCTTTCTCTCCCTCTCTCGTGCTTGTACTTGCAGATGTACTCTAAAACAAAAGCAATACAGAAAAAGAAGAAGAAGAAGAAGAAGAAGAAAGGGAGGTACGTGAAGAAAACATGAAGCAAAGCAAAGAAAAGAAAAGAGAGATGGGGATCTCGTGATATAAAAGGTGGAAGCAAAGAATGAATGAATGAATGTGAGTCAGTCGAGTGCTTAAGGCTTAAGCAGAGAAAACACAGAGCTTCCACTATTAGCCGTAGACTAATACAAGTGGTTTTATATATGTTTATATATATATATATACACATACATATATATTATGACAGAGAAGAGAGAACAAGGACATTCATCTTCGCTGCTTCCTCTTCTTCAATCAATTCTCTCTCTCTCTCTCTTTTACCCAAAAAAGAAAAAATATTCATTGCGGTTAATTATTTTCGCTGCCGGCCATTGCATGTGGCGTCGCCGCATTCATTTAGTATTTTATCTGAGCTTTACTGTTCCCTTCCAATATTCCCATTCGAAAATTACTCGTACAGCGGTACTACGTTCGTTTTCCTTTTCATTTAGCCAATGAAGAGACCTGAGCATTCATTGTTTACTTGTCAACCAAATACTGAAAAAGGGTTTTTCCTTTCAAATTCTATACTTAGATTAGTTATCATCCCTTAATCAATACTTACCAAATTTCATCACCTAAACTATTGTTTGTTACTTCATTAATTCTTGCCAGTTGCCACATATAAACGTAGCAACTCCCTTTTGCTAACTTGAAACAGCGAAACCGTACAGCGCCACTACTGCCCCAACTTGTCTTCCTACACATGAAAGGACTCTTAATCCCAAAAATATAAACTTTAATCCATTTCTCTTTTTCTTTTTTTGGGTTAAGAGAAATAGATAAAACCAAAATTAATTAGTGAAGGTTCGAGATAAGGGTGTCATGCTATTTATAAATTAAGGGTTAAATGATGTGTTGAGGTTCACTTACCAAAATTAAGATGTTCCTCTTTAACAAGATTCCGAATATTCCTTATTTCCCATGTCGTCACCCAAATCTGGGATGTTCATTTCCACCCAAATTCCTTGGAAAACACACTGACGTATATATTGGATGTATTATGTATATTATTATTTAATTATATAGTGTCACCTTACGAATGGGTAAAAGTAAAAATTTTGAAATGTTTTTATAAATGTTTTTAAAATCATGAATATTTATTTTTAAATTTATTTATTGACAAAATAATAATATTTGCATAAAATTTATATAAAAAAGACATTAAATATAAAATTTTAATTATATTTAAATATTTGATTAATTAGTTAGTATATGATCCTTTATTTATCTTAATTAAAAAAATATAAAAATTTAATTTAAATCATTCTAATTTAAATGTAATAGTAATCATTAATTTAGAATTTAAAATTAAAATATTTTAAATTACAAAATAAAATAAGCAGGGAGCGTGGATTCCTAGTCACGGAACAAGGACGGCTGGGTAGGGAGGAATTTCCTCCTTAAAGGCATGGACAAGGACAAAGAGGTGGGGTTTTGGAAGAATCACTCCTTGCCATCCCTAACCTAAGGTTAACGCTTTACAAATTTTCCCTCATCTTCACCCAAATACCCTTAAGCTTTGCAAAGAATTATATTCTTATATTCTTCTTAATAAAATAAGGTTTATTGATCAAAATAAAGGTTAGCTACACATTTGTATTTGAAACATAACCTAATCTTATTACAATAAAAAAATATTTAAATTAACTATTAATTAATTGGTGAAATTTTGTTTTCATCAACATTATTAGTTAAATAACACGTGATGTGTTTTCTATTTATTGTTTTTAAAATATCATTTGTTTGATTAACAATTTAGTCATGTATACAAATCTATGAATAAAAGTAAAATATAAAATGGAGAATTTGATTATTAAAGTTGGAATATCAAATATATAATAATTTTGAAATAGATAAATAAAGAAAAGGGAAAAGAATAAGTTGAGAAAAAGGTTCATGATTGAAAAACTTGGATGAACCTACAAGCAGCATGCATGTCTTTACCCTTTAAATTGGAAGAACATAATGCGACACATCATGTTAATGAATTTGTAAACGAGGACAGCAGTTTTACTTGTCTATACAAGTTTTGTTGAGAATTATCAAAGCACAAGTTCCTGTCAATTCGTTTTGATCACACGGACGTGCTTGAATCAACTTTAAAAAGAGAATAAGGACAGAGGGTGGAGGCATTAGGGTGAAAAAAGAGACGAGGAGTAGGGGTAAAAGGGTAAACGATGGGAGAAGAATGGAGACAGTGGACAGAGGCAGCTGGCCATGTGCAGAGTGCAGAGTGCAGAGTGCCGTGCCAGCTGGGCCACTGAGGGAACCCTAAGCACTCCCAAGCGGCCTCCAGCTAAGCTTAGCCAGTGCCACTCATAACACCGACGGAACTAGTATTCCTCCTCTCCTCCATGAATATTCCGTTTACAGGTGCCGTTACGCTGGAGCCGAGCCGAGCCAAGCTGGAGTGGGGATGATGTGGACTCGAGGAGACACATGCTCTCCCTGTCTCCCAGACTTTGGTGCTTTGCTCTCATCACAATTCGCATCTTCTCGTGCTATTTCTCAGGTTTGAGACGGAACTGCCTCGGTCCAAAAATATACAAAAGGAAGTAGTCAAATTTGTCTTAGTTTATCGACTACATTACATTAATTTGTTTCGGCAGATAAAATTGGGTGGAAGGGCAGTTTGGGGTATCCAAGGCAATAAAGACCAACAGAGCTCTTTTAACATTGTTTGATTAAGCAGGGCCCAATGATTAACTTCTCCTTGGGGGAACTGGAAAAGTGCCAAATCTTGGTTTCTTAGCCTATAAATATTTACCCTAAAAAAACGTAAGAAAATGAAAGGTAAAAATTGCATTGTTGGATACCAATTGTTAGCTCTCGGGAATGCTAAACAGTGATATCCAGGAATCTTTCCAATCGGATTCAATGGTCCGAATTAGGTTTACCAAATTTACAAGCATTCAGAACCTGGAAACAATTAATAATAGAAAAACCAATACAAGCCTTAGCATGTATGACCACGTTTAGTATACTTGGGAGAAAAGGTTTGGATAGTCAAGGGTTGTGGTTGTTGAGCAGATAGATAAAGATAGGTTATGCATACTAGGAAAAGATGCATGCATCCTTCATTAACAAGTCTTAGGTTTTTGATGTTGAGGGTTAAAGATGGATTGTTTATAGATACGGATTCAACAATCTAATATTTCATTAAGAAATAATTCTACATGCTGGTCACATTGCTACCTATAGAGGAGACATGTTTTAAATGATCTCCTCATCAATCAAAATTGCTTCTGTTCACCCCATATGTAAGAGTCAAAATCACAATGAGACCGGGATCCCATTCCTGTATTAAACTTTATATCGCACAATATTGTCTTGCAAGTATTCCTAGTGACAATAAAGCTTGATTGATGAATCAGCACCAGCAGTAAATAACCAAGGCTGTCTTGGATGGAACTTACAGTCAATTACCCCTGCAATAAACCAACAACATATCACTATGTAAGTTCAAAACCCAAGTACGGATAGCGCCGACTATGGACCTCCTTTGATTTCGCAAATGGAACTGGATTGGGCCAACCGTGCACCTCCTTTCATTTGCCAAATTCAATATAGACCAGAGATAAAGGTAATACAAGCATATCCATGGTACTCACCTCTTCCATCGGAACTGGTATGCCCTCTCAGAATTTCCAATGGAACAATCAGAGGATTCTGGTTAAGATCAGCATAAACCATGCCATGAAAGACATAGGCTGTGCAATCATCTGAGCATGATGCAAATAGTGGGTAGGAACGATGGAATGCCACATTAGTAATGTCTTTAGGGTGACACCTGAAAATGTCCCAAAAAATAAATGAGAGAAGATTAATAACCTGCATAAAACAAAGACAGAAATACTAGACCGCAGATGCCCAAATGAAAAAATCTACACCTGCACACTCATAAATTTAGATAATAATAGCGTATTGATTTACCTTGTTGCTCAAACTATGATATAGTTAGTTAAATGGGATTTAATCATTTTACCATCTGGTGAAAGAAATTCATGAGAGCACATTTATAGTGGTTTCAGAAGGTACAGGAAGAGATTGTTTACAAGTAAAATTAAGTTTCTATTTTCAAAATAAAAGTTGACACATACTTGAGGGTTTTGTAAGGTTTAGATGAAAGATCCATATCAAACCAACACAATTTTCCCTCTTTGCTTCCCACAATTACATTATCACCTACAGAGAAAACAGGCATCATAAATTATGAAGACAGCAGATAGTCGGGAAACAAGAAAAAGAGAGTACTAACAAATGAAATCAGTGAAAAAAAACAGGAAAAAAGAGAAATACCTGCAGGATGAACAGCAATTGATGAAACTTCACGTAGTTGAGTCTCAAGCTTTTTGATAAGCTTTTGCCTCAACAGATCATACACACGAACATTTTTCTTTGTTGCTACGAAGAAGATTGAACGAGTAGGATGAAAAACTGATGATACTGGAAGGCCATGAAGCTTAAAAGGGAGTCTTTGAGTAAGTTTCTTAGAGAGCTGGTGCATAAGAATTGCTTTTGATTCGCGTGATTGACAAGTTAAGGAAACCCATGAGTATCACCAAATGAATAATATAGTCATATCATCAGCTTACACAAAATCCCCCTCCATTCCCGGGCAAATAAAATCAGACAAATGTGGTAACTAAAGCATCAATAGACAAGATAGTTGCATAGTGCAGAAGAAAATTTGATGGGAGCAAATATGATTCTTATTCCACTGGTGCAGTTGCAATATTCTAACAAAAGAGTTGATTATAGATCAGCAGCAACAAAGTAATATAGCCAAAAGAAATGAGTATTCTTCACGAAACACCCCCAGATTGCTCTTTTAATAATGACGACCATCTAATATAAACATCAGTTGATTCATAAAAAAGAAAAACAAAAATTATAATAATAAGATGATATTGGAGAAAGGATATCTGCCGGCATTACTGTAGAAAGATAGTCTCCTTTACGATGCCATTCTATTGAAGATACAGTCTGCAACAACATATCAAATCAAACGGTTAAAATTTTCCTACAGAGCCTTTCAACTAGTCCTCAGTTTAACAATACTGGATTATTTTAAGTGCAGATAAATAAAGAGGGAGGAAACAGAAACCATAAGTACCCTAAAATGCCTTAGTCTGATGCAATCATGTTTTTCATCTT